GGTGTTTGGAGGGAGGCGGTGGGGGTGGAGACGGGAGGCTGCAGTTTACAGATGTCATAACTACGCGGGCCTGGAGCTGCTGACGGGGGTGTGGTAATTATAGCAATGACAACTTGGTCGTCTGTGTGAGCGGTGATGCGAGGGAAACCGCCAAGCGTTAGCTGAAGCTCGCAGTGGGAGCAGAAAACTGGAGGGCGACTGAAGTCAGGGATGTCGGCAAGAAAGAAGGAGAGGGTTGAATGCGTGCGATCCTCTTGGCAATGAAAAGTTTCAAATGAATTGATTTTCTTTTTAAGGCTTAAACTTCGGTTTGGTAAACTAGTATCAGAATCAACAACGGAGAAATGCTTTTGAAATTCTGTGTGAAACACTAACATCTATCCTTTTTTTTTCCCCTTAAAACAGTTCCTTCAAATCCCACCTCCCTGTCATCCCCCCCCCCCTTTTTTTTTTTTTTTTTTTTTTTGAGGATGGGTTTTGCTTGGTAGGCTGTCTTTGTGCTTGTCCTGGCTTCTTGGGTGCCAGGATTTCCATCACCCTAGATGATATTCCCACGTTCTTGTTGCTTTGTTGCCTTTTCTTTGTTTTTGAGACAAGGCTCACTATGTAGTCATGGCTGGACTAGCACTGGATACATTGCCCATGGTTGTCTTGAATTCAGAACTGTCTTCCCTCAGCCTCTCAAGTGCTGGGGTTTTAGGAACAACAGCATGCCTGATTGACTCATACAAATTCTGAGACAGGGTCCCTTTACATATTCCTCCTAGAACTCACATGTAGACCAGGCTGTCTTTGAACTTAGAGATCCACCTGCCCCTGACTCGTGAAATTCTGGAATTAAAGACATGTACTGTCACGCCTCCATTGTTTTTTTTTTTTAATGTTTTAACTTTTTTTTTTAAAGAATTATTTATTATACAGTGTTCTGCCTACATGTATGCCTGCAGGTCAGAGAGGGCACTAGATCTCATTGCAGATGATTGTGAGCCACCATGTGGTTGCTGGGAATTGAACTCAGGACTTCTGGAAGAGCAGGCGGTGCTCTTATCCTCTGAACCATCTCTCCAGCCCTCACACCTCCGTTTTAAAGTTTACAAGGTCTAAATTTTGAAAGGAAACTGAGAGTGATTTGTCTGTAATTTTGGTGAAATAACTTATTTTTGGTTACCTTTTTATGTAATTTTTTTGGATGGGTGATTTAAAATAAGATGGAGGTCTGAGAGGAAGTAAAATAAAAGCAAATTTACAGTAACTTTGAACTAGATGTTAACTTTTCCTAGTATAGATGAAAGCATGGAAGAGCACAGTATTTTCAGAATAGCTTGTTTCTTAAACATATTTTGCTTATTTTTTATGAATGTGAGTGTTTTGCCTGAATATATGTAATGCATCATGATCGTGCCTGGTGCTTACAGAGGGCAGAGAGGGATTTAGATCCTTTGAAACTGAACTTGCAAAGGGTTTGAGCTGCACTATGGGTGCTGGGAACCAAACATGGGTCTTCTTCAAAAGCAGCAAGTGCTCTTAACTGCTGAACCATCTCTCTCATTCAGAAATCACTGGAAGAAGATGGCATAGCTCTTGAAATCTTAGTCGTAGGGAATCAAATTGTTACTCATTGACTATAAAGAGTAAGAGCTAGGGCCGGGCGTTGGTGGCGCAGGCCTTTAATCCCAGCACTTGGGAGGCAGAGGCAGGCAGACCTCTGTGAGTTCGAGGCCAGCTTGCTCTCCAGAGCGAGTGCCAGGAGAGGCTCCAAAGCTACACAGAGAAACCCTGTCTCAAACAACAACAACAACAACAAAAAAACAAAAACAAACAAACAAAAAAAAGTAAGAGCTAGTAGCTTGTGCCAATAATACTAGCATAGCAAAGCCTAGCATGGGGCAGGAGTGTAGCATGCCAGAGGCCTGGAGTTGACCGCACACACAATTTTACAAAGAGCCTGACAAAATCAACCCTGAAAAACCTCCAGTAAAGTAATGAGAATAAAGATATTACTTGAAATCAAATATTTGGATTATGCTTTTTTTCTTTCTTTTTGAGACAGGGTCTCTCTGTAGACTCAGCACCCTTAGAACTTTGTAGAGAAGTTGGACTCAAAGTCACAGATACCCACCTGCCTTTGCCTTGAAAGTTCTGGGAATAAAAATGTGTCTCACTATGCCAGGCTATTATGCACATTTTATTTTATTTTCTTGGGGCCAGGGATCCATTTCCTAGACTTACACATACTGGGTTTGTGCTCTGCCATGGGACTATGTCCCCAGTCCTTGTATTATGTGTTTTTTCTTGCATTATGTATTTTTTGGTGGTTGTCATGTAATGTTATATACCTTGACTTTTATCTAGAATTGACATATGCCAAAGGGAACTAAAAAAAAAAAAATAAGTAAAAACACCCCTGCAAAAACAACAACAAAAACCTTTGTTGCTTGTGGTAGCCTTTTAATTTTACTAATTTTTATGTGTGTGGGGTATATATATTGGGATTGCAAGCACATGATTTTTCAGCTTCCTTGAGAAAGGGTCTCATTGAAGCTGTTTTTGCTTGTTAGCTAGACTAGCTGGCTGGCAGTTGAGCTCCGGAGATCTGCATATCTGCTCCTAAAGCTGGGTTTACAGCCATGTGCATCCATGTCCCTATTTTTTTATTTGGGTGCTGGGCAGTGAAACTCATACCCTCATCCTCACCCAGTAAGAGCGCTCACCCACTGAGCAATCTCCCCAGCCCTGGCTTTTTTGTTAAAGATTTATTTATTTATTATGTATATAGTATTCTGCCTGCATGTATGCCTGCAGGCCAGAAAAGGGCACTAGATCTCATTACAGATGGTTGTGAGCCATCATGTGGTTGCTGGAAATTGAATTCAGGACCTCTGGAAGAACAGCTAGTGTTCTTAACCACTGAGCTATCTCTCCTCTGTGCCCCCCCCCCCACTTTTTCTTTAAAAAAACTTTTTATTATGTGTATATGTGAGTGTATGCTTCATGTGTGGGGTTGCCTGTGAGGAGGCCAGAAGAGAGTGTTTTGGATTCCATGGAGTTGGAATGACATACAGGCAGGGAACATAGTTGCTGGGAACCTAATTTGGGTCCTTTGGAAAAACAGCAAACTTACAGGTACTGAGCTATCCTTTCATCCCTAGGTTTTTTTTTTAATTACTTTTTAAAGTAAAATTGCTTTTATTAGGCTAATGCTTTGTAAACAGGCTTGTTTCTGTGTTGACAGGTAGGCTCAGTGGGTTCAGTTTTTGTAATTTTCTTAAGTCTCAATTATGTCATAAATTCTTTTATACCAGACAGTCATTTCCTGGACTTTTTGCTGCTGTTTCTGGTGCTTTCAATGTTTTTTTAACTTTACCTTTCCCATAGAGGGAGAATAGGATTACATATGGTCATTTCTAGGGTTAGCACCAGTACTTGGGAGGTGGAGACAGGATATTGGGAATTCAAATCATCCTCAGCCCAATGTGAATATGAAACCCACCTGGCCTCCATGAACCAAAACAAAAGTCAAGACCTCTGGTTGGCTAGATGACTGACTTGCTGATAAAGGATATCCCTTAATACTCTTGTTATCTTTGTACTTTTGTTGGAATTATGAATTTAGGTATAGTTAATAATCATAATGTTGGCTATGGCAATTTATTTAGCTGAATTGAGCTGATTTCTCCCTTGATGTAGTGCAGATGAGACTATCATTAGAAGGATTGTGAAGTAGTGTATTAAAAATGTGGGAATGAGGACTGATGATTGTAATTTCTGTTTGTTTGTTTGGTTTTAAAGACCTTAGCAACACTGCAAAGTAGACCTAAATGAAAAGAAAAATGATTCTGTCCCAATGTTATAGACTAATTGGGATAATTCTTGAGAGCTGGCAATAATCCAGAATGTGGATAATGGGGATAATCCTCTTCATATAACAAGAATAATGCTGCCCTTCTTATACAAAGATAAGTCTGCTTGCTCATCATGAATGGTTTTCCAGCACTAACAAGGATATGTGCTGAGTTGTCCATGTGTCCATTCTCTTATGCTTTGTGACCAACAAGACAGCTTGGGGTCAGAATGAGGGCTTCTAACTGAGGAACAGAAAGACTCACAGAAAGTAGTCAAATTCATTATGGGTCAACCCTGTCTACATCAGATAGTTTTCAGTAATTATCCTTGCAAAAGCACTTGAGGGAGGAGGTTGCCCTGCTGCCTGATTAGGTAACTTGCCCCACTTCACGCTAAATGATGGGGCTGTGAGTCAAGCCATTAGGCTGTTTATAATATATTTATACTAGTCATTTAAGCTTGGCTTTATCAGCAGTTTAGTCTTTATTTACATCAGGACAAACTGGAGGCCAAATTTATTTACAGTTAAGAGATTGTCTTAAGTTCCTTGTTTTATGACCATTAAAATTACCTGAGTTTTAAAATAAGGTAACAGAAAAAACCTGCCACCCTTGTTCCAGTCTCTGT